GGATTAAAAGTGTGGATTATTGTAACCTGGATTAAAAGTGTGGATCAGTGTAGTGAAGCCTTCGTCTTCAACCATCGACAGAGGCCTCATGTCAGTGACGATCATTTAAGGATGTTTCAGTGAAGACAGCTGCTGCTGTGGGTCCATGATGTCTGTCCATCATGAAGGCTGTCATTGTTTGTTGTTGTTTTCTGGAATGAGAGTAAATATGTATTATATCATAATTTACAGCAACTCAAGAAACGCCTTGTTTCACTTACAGTGTTAGGTTCAGGCAAAAGTAGCTAAAAGAGCAATTAAACACACACACACACACACACACACACACATATAAAAAATAATTACACACATTTGAGTAGGTGTAATAAATTACTTTAATTCCTGTTTAAATGCAATTCATCCTGCCATACCTGCAGTGTCTTCAGACTTTGCCAGCAAATTAAAAGTTGAAGCTTAATCATTAAATTATTATCTTTGTGTTAGATTTATTTATAAATCACATTTAAACACTGATTGTACCAATTAAATTAAATAAAAAGTAACACACACGTTCTCTATCACCGTCATTAATCAACAAACAAACAAGCAAACAAACAGCTTCAGCTACAGACAGACTGACGTTACGTTTTCTCACTTGGAAACAGAACAATGTGTTAAATTGTAGAGACTCACCTGCAACACATGAAGAGTTGTATCAGCTGCAGCTCCTTCCTCCTCCTCGTGACTCCGACATGTTTACGTTTATATCTCCATGGTTCTCCCGTGTCGTGTCGGCGATTTTCAAAGTGGCATGTTTCTCATTTTTTATCTTAGTGAAGTTCTCCCACACTTTGGAGGACTTGGGTCGAACCGTTTTCGCTGCGTCGGTCATTTGTAAAATTTACTTATTTCCCTTTGAAAACACCGCCTCTGCTTTTCTTCCTCCTCCCCCCTCGCTCTGTTCAACTCGCGCGGCAGTTTTTTTTTTTTTTTTTTTCAAACTTTATTCAGTCAGTCAGCATTGACAATGAACTGCCCGTGAACAAAACGAAACGGCTCCGCAGCGCCGTGAAAGACGCATAATCGCGCGACACAACGAATTGATAACGAAATTCGTTGCCAACGCTTTTAATCATCGATTTTTATTGATTTTATCGATTCGTTGTTGCAGCCCTAGTCCCCAGTCTTACGACACCTGTTATCGGGGCGCTCGTGGAACCTGCCGTGGAGGGAGGACGCTCTCCTCCAGGTGGGAGGAGCGATCAGGAGTTACCCAGAATAGGCCAGCACCTTTGGTCTGGCTGCTGAGCGGATCCCTTTTGAGAGGATGGATCTCTCTCAAGATGTAGTGCGTACGATTCAGGATTCACGTGCTGCAACCACCACAGCGCTGTTCACATCAAGTGGACAGCTTTTCAGTGCTGCTGTACTGAGAAAGGTGTGGAGGCCATATCATGTCCACTTAGGTGGTGTGCCGTCCTTTCTGCAGCAACCAATGGACAGAAGTCTGGCGTTCAGCACAATTAAAGCGTACGCTGCGGCCATCTCTTCCTGTCACGATATTTTTGGGGACAGAGCAGCTTTTAATCATCCACTGATGAAACTTTTTGTAAAAGGTGTACAGAGAAGGCGTAGAGGCCACCTCCACTAGATGACGTGCTGTCTTTTCTGCAGCAGTCGATGGACAGAAATCTGGCGTTCAGCACGATTATCGTATGCTGCAGCCATTTTTTTCTTCTTGTCACGAAGTTGTCTGAGACAGAACAACCTTTAATCATCCTCTGATGGAGCGTTTTGTAAAAAGGTATATAGAGAATGTGTAGAGGCCACCTCATGTCCTCTAGGCGGTGCGCTGTCTTTTCTACAGCAGCTGATGGACAGAAATCTGGCGTTCAGCACGACTAAATGTACGCTGCAGCCATCTCTTCTTGTCACAAGGTTTTCGGGGTCAGAACAGCCTTTAATCATCTGCTGATGAAGCGTTTTTTAAAGGCGTTCAAGACGCAGGCCTGTTTTCATGCCCACTTGCTCCACAGTGGGATTTAGCGCTGGTCCTGCGAGCCTTGATCTAGGCTCCATCTGAGCTACTGAATCAGGTTCCAATTAAATTCTTGTCTCTTAAAACAGCTCTGCCGCTGGCTTTAACATCCGCTAAGAGGGTGAGAGATTATCTGCCCTCTCTGTTGCTCCGTCATGTCTTGGAACTCAGGCTGATGGCAGCTCAGCTGATCTAAGACCGAATCCAGTTTTTATGCCTAAACATCACAAGCTCTTTAAAGTAAGAGTGATATTGTTGGAGGGGTTTTTCCACTCTCCCCCCCCCCCCCCCCCCCACAATCAGAAGAAGAAGCAACTTTCCATCTTCTCTGTCCTGTGCGGGCATTGATGTGTTACATAGCGTGTTACCAATCAGTTAATTTGATTATAATCAGTTCACTTGTTATTATTAATCTGTTCATACTGTTCAGCCATGAATCAGTTGGTTCATGGCCCCCCTTTCTCAACATCTTTCCTCCCCGTTGAAAGTTTTCCGGAGCGTTCATGCATTCAGAACACATAGTTACACAACATGCGTCTGTGCATGGTACACATAATTACGCAATGCGTAATTACGCACATGGAGAGCTGAGTGACAAGACGTTTTCTGGGCAAGCTTCTGCTTCATACGGTGTTCGAATGGACCCAGTGAGGCGAGGACAACATCCGCTTCGCCCTTAACCCATCAGCGACAGCTCTTAAAGGGCTACACCTATACTCATAGAATCTGGGGTTGCAGTACGTAACCAACGTTTTGGCTGTACAGATATATTTTATGTTTTCTATCAACTTGATAGTTTTGACACAAGTTTACTTAACTTTATTGTAAGCTGTGAAGATTGTGACAGTACACAAGGGTTGCATTTATTTTATGTGATAAGCTTAAATGATATTTACAATGAGTCAGAGCTGGTGGCCCTAACAGGGCTTCTCTTATCAAGGATGCATTTATGTTCAGCTCTGCAGACACATAAAACACCTGTTAGAATCTCTCACCTCTCCCACAAAAAGTAACACAGTCCATAAAGTCTATACTGTTTTGTCTATGAGAATATGAACTCTGTGAACATATATTAAATGGTTATGGAGGTGTGTGCCACGGCGGCGCAGTTGTTAGAAATAGTGCCTCACTGCAAGAAGGTGACAGGTTTGCCTGCCTGCCTTTCTGTGTGCAGTTTGCATGTTCTCTCCGTGCTGCGTGGGTTTTCTCCAGGTACTCCTGTTTCCTCCCACAGACCAAAAACATGCATGTTATACTGATTGGTAACTCTAAATTGTCCCTAGGTGTGAGTGAGAGAGTAAAGGGATGTCTGTCTTGTTTGTCTTTATGCGTCCCTGTGTTGGACTTGCAACCTGTCCAGAGTGTACCCCGCCTCTCACACAGTGACTGCTGGAGATAGGCACCAGCTACTCCACGAGTTGGAAAGGAGAACACTTAAAATAAAATAGATGAATTTTTACCGAAGTTACTAGACAATCCAAAAACATGGATCTTCACCGCAATTTGATTCAGATTTGTGGTCTGTGATTCAGTGGTGATTTTAGCCTCTTTTTGGGGGTGCTCAAGCAACGTAAATTTTAACTCAGCACCCCTGAAAATTTAAGAAACCATCATTATGATTTTTTAAAGAAACTCTATTCTTCAATTGTTGACCAGGGGTGGGGGGAGGGGTGTTAGGATGCGTGAGAGAAGTGTGTTCTATTCACACAAGGAGAGCTGTTGGTCAGGCTACTTCTTGCTGTGCCATTAACTCTAAAATAGTTATTGGATCAAGTGTTTACTTTTGTAAGTAAACGTAGATATTTAACAACTCGTTAAAATACACCAGATTGCAGGAAATGTCATCTACTTTATTCAAAAGTTTCTGGGGGAGAACTCCCAGACCTCCCACACACACACACATTAAAAATGCATCTGATGCCAATGTTCTAGAATTGCGCCGCTCAAGGTGGCTGCATGTTGGAGCAGCTCTGTTACTTTCATTCTGAGATTTTGCTTTTGGAAACTTTTAATTCCTCTTTTTCTGGATGTAAATCACATTTTTTGGATGATTGTTTCCTCTTGTATCAGATGCTGTGCAGCTGGAAAGATTTTTTACTGAAACTTTTTTAGTTTTGGACATTTGTTATGATGCGTAACCATGGCAACAAGGCAGTTTTCTACAACCAACAGCAGCTGATTAACATCTCAAAAGCTCAAATAATATCTCAATGACAGCCCCAAATCTCAAATGAGTTGAAAAGAACATTCTGTGGACGCATTCTCATCTACCTGCCAGCTGTGCTCAAGTGCCTGACGAATGAGATCCTGGAACTAGCAGGAAACACGGCTCATGACAGCGGAAGGACAGGATCGTCCCTCGGCACCTACAGTTGGCTGTCCGCAGTGACGAGGAGCTCGGCAGACTGCTGGGAGGAGTGGCCATCGCTCTGAGAGGAGTTCTGCCCGGCATTCGGGCGGTCCTACAGCCCAGGGGAACCGAGAGGCCAGCTGAGTCTGGGTGGACGGATTGGATGGCATCTGCAGCCAGTTTCTTAGGATCCACTGTGGGATGGACCTTTACAAGAGATCCTTCCTGTCTACAGCCATCAGTATCTATAACATTTTTTTAATGAAATGAGGATAATGAGTTACAACAACAAATAATTTCCCTTTGGGATTAACAAAGTGAATGGTGTACCACAAGGCTCAGTCTTAGGACCCACCCTCTTTACAATCTACATACATAATGTAGGTAAAAACATCCCTAATGCATCCTTACATTTCTATGCTGATGACACAGTTGTTTATTGTCGAGCTAAAACTGTTGCTAAGGCTTTCCAGCTTTTGAAATCTGCATTCAACATCATTCAGACAGATTTGTTCCGCCTCAAACTTGTCCTAAATGCTGACAAAACCAAAGGGATGCTTGTTTCAAATAGGAAGTCGGTCCCAGCAGTTCTTCCTCCGATTTTATCCTCAAATGATGTCCCGATTGAGTTTGTTGATTCCTATAAATATTTAGGTATCTTGGTCGACTCGCATCTCTCTTTTAAGCTCCATGTGGAAAACTTGGTAAAGAAACTGAAAGTTAAACTGGGTTTCTTTTTCAGAAATAGATCCTGTCTAATCCTGAATGCTAGGAAACGCCTTGTATCTGTGACTTTCCTTCCCTCCATTGATTATGGTGACATTATTTACATGAACGCTCCTACAAGAACCCTGCAGATGTTGGATGCTGTCTATCATGGTGCACTAAGATTCATAACTGGCTGTGATTATCGTACCCACCACTGCACCCTGTATTCACTGGTTAACTGGACATCATTAACTTCACGCAGACTCTCCCACTGGTACATTTTCATCTTTAAATCACTTCTTGGTCTGTTGCCTTCATACATCTCCTCTTACATGTCTCTGCGTGAGTGCAGCTACGGAGTGCACTCTCAGGACATTATTACCTGCAGTGTTCCCTCAATGAGGACTGAACTAGACAAAAGGCCTTCTCCTACTCCGCTCCTGTTTCCTGGAATACCTTACAAAAACAATTGAAGCCCTCGACCTTGACCTCTCTAAGTGGCTTTAAGAATCTGTTGGACTCCTGGCAGGGACCAATGCAGACATGTTCCTGTTTTTAGTTTTCTACATTTGCCTTATAATCTAGCTGTTTTTTTTGTTTTGTTACCTTTTTCTTTTAGCCATCCTATTTGTTATAAAAAAAAAAAACTTAAAAAAAAAACTGTAGTATGACTTTTTATAACTGTTTATTGTTGTCGCTGTTGTCTATTGTTGTCGTCATTCCTTGTTGAAATCCGGTCTCTCTTGTAAATGAGTCCTCGAGGCTCAATGGGATTTACCTGTCTAAATAAAGATTGAATGAAAAAAAGTGTTTTTGAATTGATTTTGAATTTAATTGAATGGCCACTGTGTTGTTCAAGCCAAAAGCATTGTCCGCTTGGGGGCTAAGCACCCAGATTGGCACATTTTGCAATTGCCGCTGCTGTAATCTAACAAAAAGCAACTTCTCATACAACAACAGCAACAAAAAGCCACATCGTTGTCAGTCATAAAATTAACCATGTGCATTTTAGGCTTGTTAATCAAACAGATCTCTGTTTGCATTCAAGGCTGGTTATTTTGCTACGCCTACTACACAAATACTGATCCTCAGTGATACAGGCAGGGTGAAATCTACAGGCTTGCTCTGATTAACTCTGAAACTGTGTGAACGCAGGGTGATTTTTCAAGTTTTTCCCAAATTTATTTTGAAGGCATGAGCATGAGGTTGTAAAGAGTTTAAAACTCTGCAGCGAAGCTCCTAACTAGAAAAAAAAAATCTTAAATTAGGATTTGTTTTTATTTATTTATTTACAATTTTGAATTCTGTTTTTATTATATGGCTTTGTATTTTATTGTGAAGCACTTTTTAATATAATTCTGTGAAAGCTGCTGTTTAAATAAACTTATATGGACCTCAGCACAGGAAGTGGGACATGCTACTGTTATTGATTTAACCAGTAAAAATAAGCATTGCCGGTACATGAGATGTAAACATGCTTTGCTTTCTGAATTCTCTTTATTATATGATCTTTTATTGGATTCTTTATTCCTGTGTGTAGTGGTGTCCTCCATGTCGAGCTTTACTGCCTGAATTGAGAAAAGCTTCGGTCCAGTTGGCTGGACAGATCAGGTTTGGTACTCTGGACTGTACCATCCATCACAACTTGTGCTCCACAGTAAGTCCCATGATCCTCTGGACTAAACAAATGATTTTAAGATGAGCTGCAACATCAACCAGCCACTCACTTCGGCCTCTCTGTGCATCTCAGTATAATATTCAAGCTTATCCCACCACGGTGATCTTTAACGGCTCCTCTGTTCATGAGTATGAAGGGCATCACTCAGCTGACGGCATCCTGGAGTTCATACAGGTAAGTTTTAAAGCTGTCATGTTCGAAACCACGAGAGATGCCTATCTTCATCTTAATTTTTTCATAGCATCTGTGTTGGTAGTGTTGGCAAGGCATTTATCTGTTTCTGCAGGATCTGGTCAGTCCATCTGTGGTGGTCCTGGACCCCTCCAGCTTTACAGAAAGAGTAAAAGGTAAAAATGCCCCTGAAATTATTGAGCAGCCCCTCCAACCGTATAACCTACCCCAGAAATTCTGTTGTTTTTAGTATCTGCATTAAATTGTTGCCATAACTTCCGGACTACTGAGTAGGGGTGGGTGATATGGCTCAAATAAAATATCCTGATATTTCAGCACATTCTGACAATAACAATAAATTTTGTGATGTAACAAAAAAACAAACAAATCATAGTTATTCATTTGACAAAATTAACTTAATATGTTGCTTTGCAGTATTTTATAAAAACTAAAAAAAAAAAAACAAGGGTTAAAAGTATTCAGTCTCAAAGTATAAAAATTAAAAAGGATCCTTTTTGTTATTTATATTGAATAAAGTCTGCACAAAATGTAGATCAACAAAATCCACCACAAAAACTAAAGTGCAGCTGCAATTCCCCCCCACCCCCAAAATAAAAATTAACGCTTAAGATGGGGTGGGGGGTGTTCGGTTCGGTAGTTCAGCGCGCTTGGTGCTGTTATCAGCTGCAGGAGGAAGCTTATCCTGCAGTGTGGGCTGCACAAAGGTGCAGGAGGTGCTAAATAATTTTAAATAATTTATTTTAAATAAAAATTCAATGCCGATCGTGTGGGTCATCCATCAATCAGCCAATTGTGTGTCATGTCTAATGTTATTTTGAAAAACCACGATAGAACGAGTCCGTGAGAAACGAACCGCAAATTAGTGAGGGACTACTGTAAATGTTTATGGGCACCAGTGACCCCCCGTGACCTGAAAAGGAAGAAGTGTGTAAAGATGATGGATGGATGAAGGCTTTTGAAAGAGTTACAACTTATTGTTCTTCAATAGTTTAAAACTAAAAACTTAAGACACTGACCTCTACTTTCAAATGACCAGAATAGCTCTTTAATGAACACACTTGGAGCTCAGAACACGATCTGAGGTGTAAACAGATGTTTGGTTTGTGTTGCAGGTCGAGCTGGCGAACAGATCTGGGCTGTGGATTTCTACGCTCCCTGGTGTGGTCCCTGTCAGGCTCTGATGCCTGAGTGGAGGCGCATGGCCCGGGTATCACACACACACACGCCCCCCCCCAACACACACACACACACACTGTAAATACTGCTTTAGAAAAAGTGGTGTTGTTCTGAAAATGCAAATGTTCGTCTGTTTGTGGTTCACTTGTCTTCAAAGAGGAAACCTAACCTGAGGCCATCTCTCCTCACAGATGCTGTCGGGTCAGATCCTGGTTGGCTCAGTTGACTGTCAGCGCTTCCAGACATTCTGTCAGAGTCAGGGTGTGAGGGCGTACCCTGAAATCCGTCTGTACACTGGAAACGCCAAACAGCAAGACCGCTACACGTATGTTGTTCTTTTTACATGGACTTTGTGTGAAACAGCTCCAGAAGACTTTAGATTAAAAGAAGACGAGAGGCGCTAAGTAAAGATATAAATAACTGATCATTTTGTTAATTGATAAGATATTGACCCCAACAACATTCGACACCCTCTTCTGTTGTTGCTGTCTTGAAGTGGAGGGTTTAAATCTGTGCTGTGTGCAGGACTTACAATGGCTGGCACCGAGACGCACAGTCACTCCGATCATGGGCTCTCAGGTGAGGCTAAGTCCTGTTTGACTGTATTTTTCTCCACTCTTCATTATTTTTTGTCTTTTTTTTTTGTCTATTTTTCACCTTCCTTGTTTATTGCCCCATGGGTGTGTTTTTGTTTGTGTGTCTGTTTGCAAAATGTCTTGTGAACCTTTGAATGGGTTCCAATGAAACAGAAAGTAGGCATTTTGGGGGGTAAATCGGATCATGGTCACAGGGTTCTGTACAAGGAATTAACTTTTGAGGTCGCCCCAGTTTAAGAGGGCCACCAAGGGCTACTTGATCTTTTACAACACAAAGATGGCTGCACCTGTCAAATGTATAGATATTTAGCTGAGTTTGATTTTGTGGTACTGAGAGACCATTACTAACAGACTTCAAACTCGAACAGATCTTCCAGTATTGCACATAATGTCAATATAATGTCAGCTTTTCTCTTGATTTCATTTCACACTTTCTCTTCCTTGTTAATTTTTTTCTCCTTTGCTTCTTTTATTTGTTTTTCTTTTATTCCATCATTATTTTCTCATATGTTACGCATATGTTTATTTTCCTTTCTTCTCATCCCTCCTGTTCATCTTTCGGTAATGAACCAGTGTCTGAGTTTGACTTGTCTAGTAGCTTCTTGTTCAAGCTGAGTGTGTGTGTGTGTGTGTGTGTGTGTGTGTGTCCAGTGCTTTGCCTCGATCTTCAGTGGACCTGACTCCAGACACCTTCAGGTCTCAGATTCTGTTGGGTCGTGATCACTGGGTTCTGGATTTTTATGCTCCTTGGTGTGGACCTTGTCAGCACTTTGCCCCAGAGTTTGAGGTCCTGGCTCGGGTTAGGAACTTTTTTTCTTTGTAAACTTTGATTTATTGAAGTTGTGGGCTGTAACATGAAACATTACTGAGCTTCTCTGTGTGGAAGAGCTTCTTCAGAAGATGTTTGTTGTTTGACTGACAGATACTTAAAGGGGAGGTCCGAGCAGGCAAGATAGACTGTCAGGCTCATTATCAGACCTGTCAGTCAGCTGGAATCACTGCCTACCCAACGGTCCGATTTTACTCATACCTGGGAACAAAGAGGGTAAGACCCCCCCACACACACACACACTCACACACTTCACTAGGTTATTTTTTCTTATTTATTTATTTCAGGTGAGTTTTCAAAAGCACTACAAATATTTGCTGGGCTTCTAAACTTCCTCATCGACACAGAGTCTTGTAATCCTATCACTTGAATTTTGAACCTGTTGGAAAAAAATTGTGCAATAATTTTTCTGTTAAAATAGTTGTGTACGTCTTGATATAGGTGAAGGTGGGCAACAAAGTAATATGCAAGGGCCAGAACACAATTTTGCAATAAGAGAAATTGCATTTCTTGTGAAAATACCGTGTGAATGCTTATTGCAAAAGAGCTTGCTGAAAACAGCTGAAATTGGCTAAAAACATGCTGAAATATAGCTGAAATTGAAGAACAAGTCTAAATGAACTGAAATAAAAAATGGAAAGAACACATATTTGATGAATTAGGCTTAAATAAGCAGAAATTAGCAGGAAAAAAAGGAATTTATCAAAAAAAAAAAAGGCTGACTTTAGTAAAAACAAAAACTGAAATTAGCAAAAAATAGCTGAAAAGTACAGCTAGCTAAAAAGGCAGAAAGAAGCTTAATTTACCAGAATGACGTGGAGAGCACACAGTTTTTCCCAATTAGGCTGAAAGAAGCAGAAATGAGCAGGAAAAAGTAGAACTTACCTGGAAAAAGCTGAGAGTAGCAAAAAAAAAACAGCTGCAAAGTAGCTAAAAATGCAAAAACAAGCTTGAATTACCAGAAGGAATTGGGGAGAGCACATTTTTGCTGAATTAGTCTAAAAAAAGTTGAAATGAGTGCAAAAAAATGCAGAATTAGCTGAAAAAGCTTAAATTAGCATAAAACAGCTAAATAGTATCTAAAATTGTAGAAAATGCTGAAACTTGCAGAAATAAGTTGAAAGGCGCATAACAAGCTGAAATTAGCAGAGAGAAGTTAGAAGAAGCACAAAAATGTTGTAGTTAGCAAAAATAATCTGAAAGAAGCACAAAATTGCTAAAAAAAAAAAAAAAACCTGCCGAAATTAGCCGAAAATTTTTTAAATTTGCACAAGGAAACTGAAAGAAGCTGAACCAGCTGGTTTGGTGGGTCCAGTGCAGCTTGACTGCATCCGCTGGGCGCCAATCAGATCAAAACTTTACCTCTAGTTTTTCCAGAAGGAAAATGGGGCTTCTGGGAGGGGCCCTGTTGCCTTCTGGGAAATGTGGTTGTTATGAGCAGGAATACAGTGGAGGCTTACTGAGAGAAAACGGTTACGTACTGTAACCCCAGATTCTATGAGTATAGGCACAGCCCTTTAAGGTTATGGCTAGTGGGTTTATCCCTTCGCGCGCAGCGCAGCACTGAAAACTTTAGTCCACGCCCACCTGCTGTGTGGGCCTCACCCCCGGTCCGTATAAATTACGGTGAGTCCGGGTAATCGGCTCCCAAATAGCTTTTTTCTTCAGCCATTTAGGAACCAGTGAGGCCCAGAACTTAAAGGGCTGCGCCTATACTCATAGAATCTGGGGTTACAGTACGTAACCAACGTTCTATTTCGTATAGGCTTCGCCCTTTAAGGCTATCGCTAGTGGGCTAAAGGTGAAGCAGGATGCAGTCTATGCCTCACTGGGTCCACTCAGACACAACATGAAGCACCTGCTTGCACAAAAAAACATTTCACACTGCGTAATTGCATGTTCCATGCGCAGGAGCGCACTGGAGAAACGATCTCTGGTGAGGAAAAAGGCTAAGATAGCAGACCTGCTGCTGTGAATAGGAACAATGGAGGATACGAATTGTAACAGTGTAATGATGAACAGAGCAGACCAACAGCTCCTCAGGATGAAACGATTAATAACGATAAAATCAGCAGTCATGAACTTGTGACCGATAGTAAATATCTCACACTGCGACTGCATGCAGGCAGGTGTGAGCTCAAAAGTGAGGCTCCATGAAACAAATAATAATCATTCTGTCAGAACCCTGAGAACAGAATGGGTCATGGAGAAAGTAGAAACATCACGTAGATAAAAAACAAATAATTGAACATGGCGATGACCAGGCAGCCACCATACAAATATCCTCCACTTTCATCCCTCCATGCAGAGCATGAAAACCCTCTGGTGGAATGTGCTGAGATTCTCTGGAGGATCCAGTCCAGATGAACTGTAAGCTTCAGAAATATCCTCACACAACCAGTGTGAGAGGCGCTGGGTGGATAGAGGACGTCCTGAAGAGCTGTCCCGGTAATGCACGAACATACGCTGAAAGCGGCGCAGTGCGGCTGTGTGCGCCACGTAACATGAAAATGTGCGCATGGGACAGAAGGAGGTGAGATGTTGCTTCCTCTTCAGAATTATGAGGAAGAGGATAAAACCCATCCAAGGTTATCACTCTCGATCTGAATGAGCTTGTGATGTTTTTCAGAGCAGGGTTAAAACGCAGTACAGCTGAACTGCTGTCAGCATGAATTCTGAGGCATGAGGGAGCAACAGAGAGAGCAGACAATCACTCACTCTCTTTGCCGACGTCAAAGCTAACAGCAGGGCTGTTTTAAATGACAGAAATTTAAGTAAAACCTGATCTAATGGCTCAGAAGGAGTTTTGATCAGAGCGTGCAGGACCATCATTAGGTCTCACTGTGGAGCTAGTGGACGTGACACCGGTCTGTGTCTCCGTACATCTTTCAGGAAACGCTTCATCAACGGGTGATTAAGAACTGTTCTGTCACCGAAGCCCTTGTGACAGGAAGAAATAGCTGCAGCATAAGTTTTAATTGTGCTGAACGCGAGATCTCTGTCCATCAGCTGCTGCAGAAATGACAGCACGCCACCTAGTGGACATGAGATGGCCTCCACGCCTTTCTCTACGCACCAGCGCTGAAAAACTGTCCACTTGATGTGTACAGCGTTGTGGGGGAAGCCGCTCGTGCGCCCTGAAACGTACGCACCACATCCTGTGGGAGGCCCATCTTTTCTAAACGGATCCGTTCCGCGGACAGACCCAAAAATGCTGACCTATTTCTGGGTAACTCCTGATCGCTCTTCCTGCCTGGAGGAGAGCGCCCCCCCCACACACACACACACACACAACAGTTTCCACGGCCAACCAGATATCAGTCGCTGCAGATTCGGGAACCACTTATGCATGCGCTTATGCATTCGGGAGCTACGAGGATGACTGACGGTTCTTCCTCCCAGACCCGGTCCAAGGTCCATTATATCAGCAGGACTGGAGGGAACGCATAAAGGAGCATTTCTGGCCACGGGTTGTGAGTGAAGGTGTCCACTCCTAATGGTGGGTCGTCTCGTGGGCTCAGTGAGAACCATAATTGACACTGGGTGTTCTCCCATGTGGCGGATAGATCCACTGCTGCTCAGCCAAACCTGCTCCAAATCCGAGAAATCAGCTTGGGATGGAGGCTCCAGTCTTTGTGGCGGGGACCGCCCCTCGACATGATATCTGCTCACCTGTTCAGGACGCTGGGAATGTACACTGGTCTGATGGAGAGCAGGTTTTTGTGTGCCCAACACAACAGCTGTTTCGCGATGCGTAACAGTTGGGCTGAGCGCACGTCTCCCTGACGGTTTATGTAAGCTGCCGTCACTTTTGTTGTCTGTGTGGATCAGAACATGCTGATCCCGCAGCAGGGGCAAAATGCTGAGTCATGTTTCAGACCGTGAAACATTCTAGCACATTTATGTGATGTGACATGTGGTCCAGCCACTGTGCTCCCACTGCTTGGGGACAGACACATTCCTCCCAGCTTGACAGGAACGCATCTGTGAAAACTGACGTTTGACGTAGGCCTGCTGATGGGAACTCTCTCTGATCGAATGAGAGGGTTTCCCAAGTGATTCAGATCGGTTCTCACGGAGGGGGGCACAAAGATAATCCACCTCTTCTGGTGCACAGGATCTATGCGCAGGCAGGCAAACCATCTATGAAGGCGTATCATGTGAAGTAGGCCCAGCGGAACCACGATGTGGGCCGCTGACATCATCCCAAGAGTCACATGACAGGCAGAACTGTCACTATGCTTTAGGTTTTGACACGGCGGAGCTGAGCTGATAGAGCTTTGGCTCTCAGCTGTGATAAACGGGCTCTCATTGTAGTTGAGTTTAGCTCCACTTCCAGATAAACAATCATCTGGGATGGACGAACGGAAGTTTTTCCCAGTTTATAGAAACCCCAGGTTTAGCAGGTGTAAAACTAGCGTTTTGGTCTGTGCGACTGCTTTCTAACTGGACCAAGCTAATAAGAGCAGATCGTTCAGATAAAAAGAATTCTCATTCCTGCCATGTGTAACAACTGCAGAGCCGTCTCCAAGCATTTCGAGAACATGCGTGGGGTGTTTCAGAATGATGGAAATGTGAAAATATGCGCCCTTCAGATCTATAGAGGTGAAAACCAGTCGTTCTGGTGAAGTTCTCCAGCAGCTGTTTGTCAGCATGTGGAATTGTCTCCCCATGATCAAATTGCTGAACATGAACAGGTCGAGAATGGGTCTCATCCTTCCGTTTTTTTAATCAAAACTAGGAAGTAATGGGAGGAAAAAACCCTATATTTTCCTCTCCGTTGGGAACTCTGGAAAATCATGTTTTTCGTCAGAAATTCCTGAACTTCTGACTGGAGAGACGAGCTCTGTTCTGGAGAAGACAGAACCGTCCCTATAATCCCTCTGAATGGTGGGGGTTGAGCTGCGAACTGCAGCATGTACCCCCTGCTGATCAGACTGTCTGTCCATCTGTCCAGGGAACACACTCGTTGCCACTCTAACGCACAGAGAGCAGGCACTCATTTGTGTTGTGTCATGTTTCTCATGAACGTCGACCAGACTAAAAAGCCTTACTGCCATCACTCGCTCTTGAGATTCTCTGGGGGAACACAAGGGGGGCTCCGACAGAAACAATGGCTGCATTTGTGCCTTTGTGCTGAGCCCAGGCTGCGGTCTCACATAGAGCTGAGGTGAGCCGAGAGTGAGCTGCCATTTCGGTGGAGGCTGCAGCTGCCATGGAAAAACACGTTTACTCCCTCTGCGCTGTGACTAGGCAGAAAACAGCAGAAATTAAAAACGGGCTTTGGCTGAACACGAGGGATTTTACCGGATTCGGTCTGCTGAAAAAATTTCTACTAAATGAGATTTAACAAGTTAAATCATGGGGGTGGACTTAGTTTTTCATTCACAGCTTTTTATTTTGGTGTCATATTTGATTAGTGTTTAATGATTTGGTGGCCTACGTTGTGTGTCTTTGTACACAAGATTAGATATGAATAATTTTTGAACCTGATAAATCCCAGATCAGTGTTTTCCATAGGTAACTTGCCATGGTGGATGGTGGGACGCTCATGTCCATAATTGTTGTTGATGGGGGGGGTTCAGTGTGAGGGAAGCAGGGCATTGTGAGCGCTGCCTTTAACTTTTAGCTAGCATGCCTGTATTGCGCGCTACATCAGTGCTGACAGGTGGGGGGTGGGGTTGAGGGGCGCACGCATTTCGGTTCGGTGGGCGGGGTGCCTCGCTTGTATAATATCAGGGGAAACACTGCAGATAATAATCATGTTCTGATTCATAAAACCCAAAAATTAAAAGAGGATGCCGTTTCTTTTTTCATAATAAGAATCTATTTTGAGAATCATGCAAGATAATAAGAAGTGAGTTATGAACAAACAGGATGTTTTTTTTATTTACTTGAGATTAGAACTCATGGGTACTCGTACTAGATTTAATAGATTTAATGGGAAAACTCTGAACTCTGACCTCAGAGCAGTGGAGCAGCTTTTTGCTGACTGGTTCGTGTTTGATGAGCTGTGTAAAAATCAGATGGAAAATGCATTAAATTTGTATGTCTGTGTTATGGCAGCCTGAACAAGGCGGAGAGCACATCAATAGTCGGGACGCAAATACAATTGCTGACATCATCAGACATCGTCTGGAACAGCTGTCACCACGGTTACACAGCACAACAAGGGTAACTTTCTTTCCTGCTGAAATTCTAACCAAAGCAGAAGCAAACCTTGACTAAGACATTTTTTAAATTGTTTTGTAGGATGAGCTCTGATGAAGGAGGCTGCTGTGTGAAATACGACAGATCTGATTGGTCAGAGAGGGATGTAGGTGGATTTGATTGGTCCAGAGAGTTGATCAGTCAGCCAACACTCTGAGAGGACTTCAGCTGGAACACAGAGGCACGCACTGACTGCTACAGCTGTGATCCTCAATGAAATGAACACTTTTGCCTTGTTTTTATTTGCTTTTATTTTGTCTCCATTGTTTGTATTTACTCTATGAAGTAAAATTGTGGGACACTGGGATACTGTTTATGTTACTGCATACAATCGCACACAGAACCAAATCATGACATATTATTGTAAATTAGTGTTCTTATTGGAACGATTTAAGAATAAAACACATTACAATATTTTCCAAATCACTTTTTAAAACTTTTGTGTCTGTATTGTGTTTATTAAAAAGGTAATTTAAGATGATAAGATTTTAACAGCAGAAAATGGAGGAACAAATTTATCAACCTAACTAAAAAGTTGTTTTGTTCATGGTTCTAGCAGCTTAAAGGGATAGTTCAGATCTTTTGAAGGTCTGTTCTGTGGGAAAGTTACGAACAAAAATATCTTGCTGCTTGTTGGGAGCTTTTTAAATGACCGATTGGAGAAAGGGAGAGGAAATCTGACAGGACTGAATGTGCCATTATCAACGTGGATGGTGCCGTCTTAAAATAACTATGGTAATCTCGTGATATAGGGGCTCATTCAGTGTTTTTTAAAACAATGTTTTTATTGCAGGAAACTACATCACATTATTTACATAAACTTCTGTGGTTAATTGCACGTGCACTAGTAAGCTGTAGACAAGTGCATGCCTGGAAGTACATCAGATCTTGTGTATTATTTCTGCCAGATTAATGCTATAATGTCAACATGATGATGGTGTAAAGGTTTATAAAATAATGCTCATATGAACTTTCGTGAAATTTCAAAGATTGGAGTCATTTTGAAATGACAGAAAATTAAACTTGAAATTGGTCCACTAATACCTTGTCAATGCAATAAGGGCGGGGCCATTTCCAAAGCGGGCTGCTGCCATGTTTAAACAAGGTTTTATGAGAACATTGTTTTAAAAACATTTTCACTGCTATCAGTTTTTCATTACACGTACTTGGTTCTTTTAGCCAAAATATGATATTCTTGTAGGAAGTTGGCTGCACAGGATGTTCTACAGCTAGCTGCTGCTGCTGCTATGTGCACTTGCACATAACCATAGACTTCTATGTAAATAACCATAAAATGTAAGCATAAGAGCTGTTTAAGGGTCATGAACCATTTTCACAAACTGCTATGAAATCGACTTAGGTATTTAGCCATACTCAGACTAGCCATTATTAGTCCATCAGTGTGGTCAGAATTATGCCGTATTTCTCCAAAATGAGCTTGTTTAAAGAGCTGTCTGCCAGCAGGGGTCACATACTTTATATTACCCGTTTTTAAACGAGTCTTCATGAGCACAGGCTGCAGCAACAAAACAAGTGAAAATGTAGAATTTTTTTTGCTGTGTAAAAATGTGCCCATAAAAACACCATCAAGTGACCCCGGTATTATAGAATATATTTTTTAAATCTACTAACGGGATTATCTTCAGAAATAATCATTTTAATATTCTTTCAATTTGACAATTTTTTCTCTAACGGCTGCCATAGTGCTGGGAAATTCCTTGTATAATGTTTGGCATCATTGTGAAGCTTAAGAAGTTCCTGATGACATCACTCCAGACCAGTGCTTAATTTGTAAACCAAACGATGTGTGGGGGGAAATTTTGAATAAATAGATGCCATTTCCTACATTCTGGTGTATTTTAACGGGTTGTTAAACATCTACTTTAACCTACATTTGTAAACACTTGAGTCAATAACTTTTAGAGATCAACAGCAAGAAGTCTGACCAACAGCTCACCTTGTGTGAAAAGAGTACACCGCTTCTCTCAAGCATTCTACGTCCTGCGCCTCCTCCAAGCTCCTGCCTTCATTTGCTTAAATTCTCAGTTGTTTAGTTATACACTGAGAAGCCTTTTTTAAAATGAAAGTAAATTGAACGGTCTTTTCGACATTTTGGTCGCTGTTGTTTTGACAAATTGGCACCGTTGTTTTGATACGTTATGTGTAACATGATTACCCATCAAACATTTCTCTCATATTTTTTAATAAATAATCAAAATTTTATTAATGACCCACTTAAACTGTAAAACTGATTTGCAATTTAGTTGTGCTGTTTAAATATATTTTTGTGTTTTTAATTAAATTGCCCATGACTGAACTTTTAGGGGCGGAGATTTTTTAAAGGTAGAAGTGGAAATACTTGAAGGAGCAACTCTGATGTGATATTAAGAAGCTCATTAGTGGCTGTTATGTTTAAAATGAGTGTTTATGTAATTATTTTCAGATTACGTCCAAAATAGGTTTTATTCGTTCAAGACAGTCAAATTTGTTTATAACTTTATTATTTGTAAGCTTGAGGGTTACTGGAGCCAAGCAAACAGTTACAGAAACACACCCTGTCAAAATAAGAGACTTCCTGGATCCTGTTCTGGCAGGATCCAGCTCACATTAAGCCCTGATCCAGACCAATAGAACCAGTTTTCAAACGGGCAGTCTCATAAACAAAACTAGTTTGTCAGACCAGGTAATACACTGCCAAATTTCAACAGACTAGATATTTTAAAGCTTTTGAGATGGATAATCTGAAAATGATAACTCATTATTCAACTGTTCCTCACTGTAACTTTGCTACCAAATGTTGGATTTTATACCTGGATTATTGAGCATGGACTTTGTTGTT